ATGCATGCATACGTACATACATACACGTACATACATATGTGCATTCATGCATGCATGCATACATACATACATACAGACATTCATATTTGCAGGCATGCATACACACATGCCGACCTACCGACCTACCTACTGGCCTACTTACCTACACACATCCATACATACATAATACATACATACACACACATCCATCAACCAAACAAACACGCACCCATACACACATACACATACATACAAACATCCGTACTTGCAAATATGCATACGTACATACTTGAATGCATGCATACGTACATACATACATACATACATCTGTATCACAATCGTGCAAACATGCATGCACACATACAAACAACCATTACACATATGATTACGAACAAACATGCATACATACATACATACATACATCGGCGTCACAAAAATGCTGGCATGAATTAGAAAGTGATCATATTGCACTGGCAGGGCACGATCCCGCCCGGTGGGATTTCTAAACCAATGTGGGTTGACGGCGGGATGTTTAAATACCCCGTTTATTTCATATTATAACATATCTGGAAGAAATCCCAAACTCAGAAATTCCGGCTCTTTGATCCGACCGCTCTTGACCCCGCCCGCTAGGATTCTACTGGGGAAGGGGGGCAATTTGGCGCGGTCGGGGCAGGGGTCGGCATTCGCCCGCCCGCTCGCGCGGAAGTAACGAACGAAACCTGCATCATCTGGGCGACTCCATAAAACGTGACGTAATTATGTAATGGCGTAGCGGTATTTCAAGCGCCGCGCGGCGAGCGTCGAGTGCTTGGTAATTCGGCGTGGCCGCGGCCATGGGGGCAATGGCGGATGAAGAGTGGAGGTGAGTGAGATGACGTGGAACGTTGAAAGATGATGCGTCGCCATCGTGGATCCCGCAGCGGTATTTCAGGCGCCGCGCTGCGAGCATCGAGTGCCTGGTAATTCGGCGTGGCCGCGGCAATGACGGTCATGGCGGATGATGCGTGAGGGCGACTGCGATGACATGGAACCATGAATGATGATGCGTCCATCGTGGATCCCGCAGCGGTATTTCAGGTGCCGCGCGGCGAGCATCGAGCGCCTGGTAGTCCAGCGCGGCGGCGGCAACGGCGGCAATGGCGGATCATGCGTAGGGGCGAAGGCGATGACATGGAGCGATGAGTGACGATGCGACGACATCGTGGATCCCTTAGCGGTTCTTCAGGCGCCGCGAGGCGAGCATCGAGTGCCTGGTAATCTGGCGTAGCTGCGGCCATGGCGGCAATGGCGGATGATGCGTGAGGGTGAGTGCGATGACATGGAATGATGAGAGATGACGCGAGCCCATCGTGGATCCCTAGCGGTATTCAGGCGCCGCGCGGCGAGCGTCGAGTGACAAGTAGTCCGGCGCGCCCTCGGCCGTGGGGGCAATGGCGGATGATGAGTGGGGATGGGTGCGAACACATGGAACGATGAAAGATGACGCGTCGCCATTGTAGATCCCTCAGCGGTATTTCAGGCGCCGCGCGGCGAGCATCGAATGCCTGGCAATCCGGCGCGGCCGCGGCCATGGCGGCAATGGCGGATGATGCGTGGGGGTGAGTGCGATGACATGGATAGATGCATGATGATTCGTCGCCATCGTGGATCCCTGGCGGTATTTCAGGCGCCGCGCGGCGAGCGTCGAGTGCCTGGCAATCTGGCGCGGCCGCGGCCACGGGGGCAATGGCGGATGATGCGTGGGAATGGGTGCGAATACATGGAACGATGAAGGATGACGCGTCGCCATTGTAGATCCCTCAGCGGTATTTCAGGCGCCGCGCGGCGAGCATCGAATGCCTGGCAATCCGGCGCGGCCGCGGCCATGGCGGCAATGGCGGATGATGCGGGGGGGTGAGTGCGATGACATGGATGGTTGATTGATGATGCGTCGCCATTGTGGAACCCTCATCGGCGTTACAAAAGTTTTGCCACGAATTGGAATTTAATCATCTTGCGCTGGAAGGGCACGATCCCGCCCAGCGGGACTTCTAAAACAGTGTGCGTTGTTTCTTGCGTCGGGTTTTAAACTACCCCGTGTAGAGAATATGTACGATCACATAACTGGGGGAAATCCCAGATTCAGAAATCCCAGATCTTTGATCGGACCGCTCTTGACCCAGCCCGGTAGGATTCTAGGGGGGAACAGGGGGCAGCTTGGCGCGGTCGGGACAGGGGTCGGCCTTCGCCCGCCCGCTCGCGCGGAAGCAACGGCCGAAACATGCATCATCTTGACGCTCTCTGCTGTTCTCTGCCGGTCTCCGTGCTGCTCTCGGCGGCCGCCTGCTGGTCTCTGCTGCTCCCTGCTGCTCTGTGCTAACCTCTGCTGCCCTCTGCTGCCTCTTGCTGCTCTCTGCAGGTCTCTGCTGCTCTCAGGCGGTCTCTGAGTCTCTCTGCTGCCCTCCGCCACCCTCTGTTGGTGTCTGCAGGTCTCTGCGCTGCTCTCCGCTGGTCGTTGCTGCCTTCTGCTGGCGTCTGCTGGTGTCTGCAGGACTCTGCTGCTCTCTGCTTGTCTCTGATGGTATCTGCTTCTCTCTGCGGCGCTATGCTGTTTGCTGCCCTCCGCTGCGCTCTGCTGGTCTTTGCTGCTCACGTCTGCGCTCAGCCGCTCTCTGCTGTTCTCTGCTGCCCTCTGCTGATTTGCGCGGGACTATGCTGCTCTCTGCTGGTCTCCGTGCTGCTCTCTGCTGCTATCTGCTGGCCGTTGCTGCCCTCTGCTGGTGTCTGTCACTCCTTGCTGCTCTCCGAGCTGCTCCCTGCTTCGCGCTGCTGCCGTCTGCTGCTCTCTGCTGCGCTCTGCTGGTCTTTGCTGGTCTCTGCTGGTCTCTGCTGCTCTCTGCTGCTCTCTGCCACTCCTTGCTCGTGTCTGCTGCGGTCTGCTGGTCACTGCTGCTATTGCTGCTGCTGGTGTCTGCTGGTCTCTGCCAGTCGCTGCTCCTGTCTGCTGGTCTCTGCTGCTCTCTGCTGGCCTCAAGATGTCTCTGCAGATCTCTGCTGCTCTCTGCTTCTCTGTGCTGGTCTGTGTTGCTGTCTGCTGCTCTCTGCTGCTCCCTGCTGGACCCTGCTAAGGCTTGGCAGTCTCTGCTGCTCTCTGCTGCTCTCTGCTGCTCTCTGCTGCGCCCCACTCGACCCTGCTGCTGTCTGCTGGTCTCGGCTGGTCTCTGCTGCTCTCTGCTGGTTTCGGCTGTCCGGGCTGGTCTCTGCTCTTGTCTGCTGCTCTCTGGTGGGGCCTGCTGGTCTCTCAATCTCTGCGCTGCTCTCTGCTGGTCTTTGCTGGTCACTGCTGCCCTCTGCAGGGTCTCCGTGCTGCTCTTTGCTGGTCTCCGTGCTGCGTCTGCTGTCTACTACTATCTGCTGCACTGTGCTGATCTCTGCTGACCTCGGCTGCCCTCTGCTGGCCTCTGCTGCACTCTGCAAGTCCCTGCTGCTCTTTGCAGGCCCCTGAATCGCCGTGCTACTCTCCGCCACTCTCTTCGTGTCTGCTGGTCTGCAGGTGTCTGATGCTCTCTGATGGTCTTTGCTGCTCTCTGCTGCTCTCTGCTGCACTCTGCTCTTCCCTGCTGGTCTCTGCTTGTGTCTGCTGCTCTCTGCTGCTCTCTGCTGCGCTCTGCTGGTCGTTGCTGCTCACGTCTGCTCTCAGCCGCTCTCTGCTGTTCTCTGCTGCTCTCAGCTGCTCTCTGCTGTCTTCTGCTGGTCTCGGATGCTCTCTGTGGGACTCTGCTGCCCTCAGCTGCTTTCTGCTGGTGCTTCTCTCTGCTGCTATCTGCTGGTCTTGATGCTCAGTGCTGCCCTCTGCTGCTCTCTGCTGCGCTCTGCTGGTCTCCAAGCTGCTCTCTGCTGCTCTCTGCTGCCCTCTGCAGTTCTCCGCTGATATCTGCTGCCCTCTGATGCCCTCTGCTGCTCTCTGGTGGTCTCTGCCGGTCTGTGCTGGTCTCTGCTGCTCTCTGCTGGTCTTTGCTAGTGGCTGCTATTGTCTGCTGATGTCTGCTGTTCTCTGCTGATGTCTGCTCTGGTCTCTGCTGGTCTCTGCCGCTATCTGCTTGTCTCTGCTGATCTCTGCTGCTCTGTTTTGCTCTATCTTCGTCTCTGCTGGTCTCTGCTGGTCTCTGCTGCTCTCTGCTTGTTTACAGGGCTCCGATGACCCGCTCGGATTAGCAACGTGGTCTACGGGCCCACAAAGGAGCAGCTCCCGCTGGAGGCTTCGTCTCCGTTCACTCAATGACGGGGCCCCCGTTGGAGACGTCCACCAGATTCCCGGCTTCCAGAGCCCGAAAGTGACGACGTTTGGTCCGACACCCACTCGGATCAGTGACATGAGCCGCGGTCCCATAGGGAGGAGGGCCCCGCCCGAGACTTCCTCACTTCTCTCTCACAGACGGACTTCCGCTCGAGACCTCCGTCAGACTAAAACCTCCAGAGCCCAAGCGTGACGATATTTACAAGGTTCAGATGACACGACCTGGCGGCCCCAAGGGAGACACGCCTGCTCGAGACGCCCTCACTTTTCACTCACAAGGGCCCCCGAGGGAGCCGGCGGCAAAGGGCCGGGGGCCGGAGACTGCATACCCGGGGCCGGGAATCGGGGACTGGTGACCGGGGGCCGGGGACCAAGGACTGGGGACCGGAGACCGGGGACCGGGGGCCAGGGACCTGGGACCGGGGACTGGTGACGGGGGGCCGGGCGCCGTGGACTGGGGACGGGGGCGACCGGGGGCCGGCCAGCCCCGGGGGCCGGGGACCGGAGCTGGGGACTGGGGGGCCAAGGACTGGGGACCGAGGGCCGGGGACCAGGGACCGGTCCGAGGAATTCCGCCACTCTGGAGAGACAACGCATCGATCGTCCTATCCGTCTGTCACGCGGAGGAAGCCGCGAAGCGATCATCGCACACCTCCGGCCACTTGAATTCAGACTCCGCCGCTGATGCCCCCGCGTCGCGCGGATCAGCTTCAGGCCTTCCTCGTCCGCCAGCGAGCTGGGGATGTCCTCGAAGACTCTGCAGCGCAGGGGCATCTCGATGGCCTCGCGCTTCTTGAGCCTCGCGCCCTTCGCCTCCGCCGCGCTGGCCACGAAAGTCCCGAGCTCGATCTCGTCCAGCAACGCCAGGTCCAGGGGCTCGTCAATGCTCGTGGCTCGGATGGCTGGAGCAGGTGCCCTTGCCTATGCCGCGGTTCCTCGACCCTCGCCTCTTGCGGCGCCGGGGCTCCCTGCTCGCCGCCTTACAAGGCTGGCCGCCGTCGGCGCCGCCGAGGCGCTGCGGGGGTCGCTGGCGCCGCCCTTGGAGTGCCCGTTGCCGCCGCCGCGACAAGGGCTTCTTCCTCTGGAGGGATGACTGGGGCTGGCGGGGCCGTCGGCCCAGCCCCGCCCCACGTCGGCGCGGCCGCGGCCGCCCCGCGGAGCACCGTTCACGCCCCTGGAGGAATGCTGGGCCAGCACGTCGTAGCGGCCCGAAATTTGTCAGTCCGAGCTCGATGCCATCCCGCGGAGGTCCAAGTAGAGGCGGTCGTCGCTCCCCGCATGCTTGCCGACCCAAGGTGCCCTTCACCATCCCCAACGCACGCTCCTGGATGACTACGCCTGCCGCGATGTCACGCTGGTGCGAGATCGACACCTTGAACAGCGCCGCCTCCGCGAATGGTAGCACCTCGCCTGCGCTGCCGCTGCCGAACGCGGCCTCGCGGGCCGTCCGCCCGCCCGCTCGGCGGCGGCAACGTCTGCGATCATCGCGGCGTGCTGCTGCGCCCAGGGCCAGATCACGTCGCCCGCCGTCAGCTTCATCCCGTAGGTCCCCTCCACATGAGACCGCCGCTCCGTTGCCCGGCGAATCCATTAGGCTGGCCTCCGCTACGCGCATCTTGTCCGCTGGGTTCCTTCTGCCAGGCTGCCCTGACCGCTCTCTGCAATGCTTGGATCGCCACCTCGCCGTTTGCTTTCAGCTCGATCTCACCGATGTTGAGCCGCTTGATAAAGCTGCACACCGCGCCCACCACGCGGGGCGCCATCTCCTTCGACTCCACAGGCACTGCCTTGCCAAGCGAGTGCCGCTGCCGAACATGATCTGGGTCACGCCGAAGAGATCAGCTTGCTGCGATGCCCCCATACAGGCTCAGCGATCTCTCCGCTCGTCTTCGCGTTGGCGAAGTCCAGCGCCAGTCTCGCGTTGGCGACCTCCTGTTTGTCGCGCGCTAGCTTCTGGCGCGGCCTCGACGTCGAGTTGTCGAGCTGACGCAGCGCGCGCCACTCCGCGGGCGGGGCGCACAGCACCTCGTGCGCCGCCCGCCCCGCGGGCGCCGGCCCCCGCGGCGCTGGTGCAACCCGAGGGCTAGTCGGCTCAACTCCTGCGACGGCCTCGGCATGCCTCCGCTCGAGCTCCCACAGCCTGCCCACGTTGATCTGGTTGCCATTGCAACCGTCGAGAGACGCGTCCACAGCTGCGGTTTCGTTCCGTAGACGGGCTGACTGAGCTCCGTCAGCCGCGTCTGCAGGTCGACCAAGTCGCTGTCAGGACGCAGGACTTGACCAGCTCCTCTCGTCTGCGCCTCAGGCGCATGCGCCGCCGCCCCCGGCGCTGCCACTGCCCAGGGCGCCGCCGCAAGCTGCTCGGGGGCCCGCGCCCGCCCTGGGCCGCTCCGCTTCGACCTCCGCGACTGCTTTGCCTGAGCGGCCCGCTTCGGCCGACCCCGAGGCGCCGCCCATGCCCGTGGGACACGCGCTCCCTGCCCACGTCGCGCGACCCTTGGAGCCCGCGCTCACGTCGAAGACGTCGCTCTCGATCCCCAGGGCGTCGCTCACCCTTCTCAGGCGGGTCGCGTTCTCGCGGTCGCCCTTCGAGCGCGCCGCGCGGCCCTCGCCAGAACTTACCCAGAACTCTGCGCCACAGCGCACCATCTGCATCGGGCTCACGATGGGCTTCGCGTTCGTCGGGCCCTCGCGGAAGTCAGGCTCGACCAGCGCCGCCTCCGCCTGGCCAGCCACCGCCGCGAGGGCTCGCACCGCGCCGTCAAATGGGGGTCTTCTGATGGCGAGCGTCGCGCAGCACTGGTCCGCCCAGCGTTCCACGCCGAGCTTGCTACGTTCGGAAGCTTCTCGGGCATGTGCAAGCATCTGCCGATGAGTCGATCGAGGCGAAGGCGTTCTTTGGCACCTACATCGCGCAGCCCTCGCCGACCTGCGGGCTAGGGGAGCAGAGCTAATCGTTGTCAATGTCTGTCGTGCTCGGAGCGCTGTAGCCGCGATCCTCCATCGAGACAGCCATCTGGCAGAAAACGTCGTGATCGCAGCACTGGCACTCCTCACTCGTCGCGGTCGCGCTCCATGCTGAACTCGGTCGCCTGGACGTGCCCATCCTTTCTGGCTGCCTTGCGTGCCTTTCCCTTGTCCTTCATCTCCTTCTAGATGCGATTATTGATATGGTTGGCTCGTCTTTCGACAGTCCTGAATAGTGCGGCCCGTGGTGCCGCAGCCGAAGCATTTCCCAGCGATCTGGCCTGACTTGTCTCGTCCCTTCTGGTCCCTGGACGCCACCAGCGCTGTACTTTCCTTGTCCTGGCTTGAAGCACACTTCGCGCTTGCTTTTGTTTGCACTTTCCTCTACTGTTGTTCTTGCCGCCACACTTGATGATTGCGTCGGTCTCCATAGGCGCCGGTCCTGTTGACCCCATTGTGTTCTGCCTCTTGCCGACGCACTCTAACATATGGAGTGCCTCAGCGTCGCGTAGGTCAATACGACGTCCTCGGTCGCAGCGTGGAGCAGGTATTTGATGGGACCAGGGGCGTGCGCCAGCACGGTTGCCACCTTCATCTTGTCCGTCACACGCTCTCCACTGGTCAGCTCGTAGTTTGCCGCCACCTCGGACCCGCCAACAGGATGTCTGCGCAGCTCTGATTTGCACGATCAGGTTCGCGCCACCACGTCGGAGTCAACACCATCGATCACATCTGGGCGTGATCCTAAGGCAAACCCGGTCAATACTCCCTGCACAGGCATCGCACTGCCTCGAGACCGCTTTCTCTGTGCACCAGCTTCACGACTTCACCTCCGACGCAAAGAGGTAATACAAGTCTCCGTTCATCTGCCGCTCCTCCTCGGACAAGTTCTCTAGCATGATGGGGTCCACCTGCACTTTCGCTCAGTCCACCATCTGGCCCCACCACAGCAGGTGGGCATAACTCCCGGACAGGTAGGCCCACTGCTTGAACTTTATCCGATCTCGGCTGAACACGTCTGGTTTCGTTCCTGAGCGGATGTCTAAAAACAGTCGGCTCTGCGTTGTCATCGTCCTGGCTCTGACCACTTCTCCCTCTCGTCCGCTGAAGAGTCCACGTCACTCGCACGACCAGCTGCTCACTTGAAGCCGTCGCTCTGGTCGTCACCACCCGAGCGCTTCGTCGGCGGCCTCGCCGTTGTGGCGCCCACGCGCTCTCTGCGCGCACCTGTCACCATGCATCGAGTAGGGGATCGACTGCAGAATTGATGTACACCATAAGTCTCCAGCATTGATTTGTTCGTCGAATCCATGAGACATGCGTGGGATGTTCGCAGATCTACGGATATTCTACGGATGTCTCCACAAGAAAACCAAGTTTGGTGTAGATCAGTTATGTAGTCGATCCCTTACTCGAGTGCAGCATTCTCGGGGGCGGAACGCGCCCCGCCAGGGGAGCTGACTCCTCCTGCAGGCCAAGCGACTGCGGAGAGCGCACGTGGCACGCAAGTCCTCGTGCAGGGCCCCAGGAGGCCCAAATCATGCATGTCTCGTAGGTTTTATGTGACTTCAGTGCTCTCGCCTTTTCGTTTCCCCAAGTCTCCAAGATGGCCCAGGAGGCCTCCAAGATCACCCCAAGACGGCCCAAGAGGCCCCCAATGCCAGGCCAAGACGGCCCAAGACGGCCCAAGTGGGCCCCTAGACGGCCCAGCAGGCGCTCAAGACGGCCCAAGCGGGCCCAAAGACAGCCCCAAGAAGGGCCCAAGAGGAGGAACACGAGCCGAAAATCCGAGTCTTCAGTCCCAAGAGGGCCTCCGGAGGCCCCAAGAGGCCTGCAAGAAGCCCCACAGGAGACCCTATGAGGCCTTGATGATGCCCGAAGACGCCCCCAGGCCACAATGCCTCCACGAGGCCCCCGAGAGGCCCCCCGCGACATCACAACGGACATCCTAGAGGCAGATGACCAATAACCCAGGCTCAGTGGAGGAACGGGCCGAAGGCCATGACATACTTGTCACCGACCCCTGCGGCGCAAATTGCTTTGACCTCGACTGGGCCCACCGCTGAGTGTCACCAGCTGGCAGCGCGGGACCTGCCAGCCTGCTCCGCAGAAGCGTGCCACGAACCCGCACACAAAGACGAGCCAGGAGGCACGGAACAGTTCACCTCATGTCACCGACTTCTGCGGTGGCAGACCCAGGGCCGGGACACACGGAGCCAGGAGCCCCGACTGAGCGCGGGCAGCTCGGGAGGGCCCGAGAAGGCGCAGAGAGGCGAGAGCGCTGCGCCAGAACAGAAGGCCAGCAGCCGTGGCAGAGTGGCCGCGCCAGCTGGACTGAGGAGCACCACCGCTGAGGCCGCAGTGGCGGCATGGAGAGCAACAGGAAGGGGCTGCCGCCTGCATCACCGTTGCAGATGTAAAACTGCGGTGTCCAAAAGGCGACTCGGCACTCGAGTGAGGACACAAGGACAGGTAAGCGTGGCGACCGCATGAGGTCAGTAACAATGTATGGAGGAGTATCGGATAGCAACGTCTCTGATCTAAACGCAACCTGTTGCGACCCGGGTTAAACAGTAGAACAAAACAGTAATCCTGCAGCACGGTGGAACAGCAAAGTGAAACAGTGAAACGGTAAAATATGTGTGCCCAAGGGCAGCACTGTGCCAGCCGTCCCGGAGACATCGCGCGCATCGCGCGCACAACGCTGCGCAGAATACCTGCTTGGACAGCGCTGTACGAAGTATGTCACAACAAACGATCTCTGCGTATCCTGGCCAGCTGGGTGGGTTGAAAAAGTGGGCGTGGGTGCATGGACTGCCCGCAAGTGTGAAGGCAGAATGGGCTGGATTCCGCGCTGCACACAAGAGGGGAACAGAATCACATCAGCCGGCCAGTGGGACGGCCGACTCCTGGAAGAGGGAGCTCGCCCCCGAGCACGTGGCGAACGCTGTGCCGCTGCCCGAGATAGCTTGTATCACCTTCCGGGAGGCCGGAGGAAGAACTACCTCTACAGGAGGGGCCCGACCACAAGAAACCTTCCACAAGAAACCCAACCCTGAGATCCCAGGACGTCCATTGATTTTTGGTGTGGGAACGTCACGCTGTCCCTGGCAAAACAATCGAAACCCAAGAAACCCAGGGCACCCTGGAGGGAAGCAGGGTGTTAGTTGGCATGGGCCTCCACTGTAAGTGGCGGCATCCGACTCCGACCCCCACCAACCATCGATCTCCTGAGTCGATGGTTGGCGGGGGTAGGGTTCGGATTCCGCCACATGCTCAAACGATCGGCGAGGGCAGGGTTCGGATTTCGGCGCCGGTACCTCGGAGACGTGGGCGACGGCCCCGAAGGACTCCTGGGCGGTGTCTGATGCATTTCGTCTCGTGGGGTGCGCGGAGTCGGCGGGGCCTGCGGGCCCGCCTTCGGCACGGCGGCGGCGCCCCCGAGTGCCCGTGGCCCGAAGCCCAGGGGTGTCGCGGTGGCCGGCGTCGGGCCGGCCAGCTTCGCGTGGGCCGCGGCGACCTGCGCCAGCACGGCGGCGTGGTCCACGCGGGGGAGCGGCGGCAGCGCCTCGGAGCGGTGGTCCAGGGACAGCAGCGGCAGCCTGCCCAGCGGCGGGGGGGGCGGGCAGTCCGGGGCGCGGTACAGCGAGCGGAGCCTCTGCATGTGGCCGACGTCCTCCAGCGTCATCGGCGGCGGCGGCGGGATCAGGCCCCCCGAGGCCGCCTGCGCTGGCCCGCCCGACCACGGCGCTGGAGCGCTCCCCGGCAGCAGCATGTTGGCGAGCGCCCACTGCCGCATCTCTTGGGCGCCCGAGGGCGCCCCCGGCGGCTGCGCGGAGGCAGGCGCTGGGGCCAGGGCGCCAGAGGAGAGCGAGAAACCCGAGCTGGCCGCGGGGGGCTGCAGCGGCGCCGTCGGTGGGGTCGGAGGCGGCCGCAGGGGCAGCGGGGCGTGCGGCGTGCCCGCGCGGGGCGGCGCATTGCTCGGCGAGCTGGGCGCCGCAAAGGGGCTGCCAACGCTGCCGATGCGTTGGTGCCAGCTCGCTCGAGGCGGCTGCTCCACCATGCGCAGCGAGGCCATCTCGCCCTGCCCAGTCGATGCGGGGGTCCACCTCGTCGCGCCGACGAGGTCGTACGGCTGCCCTGGCTGCGCCAGCGGCTGCGCCGGCGGCTGCGCCAGCGGCTGCGCCAGCGGCTGCTGGGGGGGCTCCCAGCAGGTCGGCTCTGAAAGAAATGCTGGCTCCGGCTGCAACTGCGGCGGCTCGTGCGCGGGCGGCGGAGGCGAGCCGCCGTCCGGCAGCCTTCAGCTGCACTACGACGACGACGCTTTAGACCTTTGGTGCGCGACTTTCGGATGCCGCGGGAAGGCCAAACCGGGCGCGCAAACCGCTGGTATCGCATTGCATTGAACCGTCTGAGCGACGATCCAAAACGGGCCTGACGAGATGGCATAGCGACCTTACGCGGTGGCTTACGCGGGCCGCCAACGCGGCACGCTACAGTGGAGACGAGGGCGCTCACGCGCGACCTTGCGCGGGGAGCTTACGCGCGAGTGCTGGCGCAGACGACCCCGTTTTTTTGCGTCGCTCATCTGGGGACCCCAGTGTGCCCGCACCAAAGGTCTCAAATGTGCCCACGAAAAAATCACTGCGGCGAAAGGCCACTCTTGCGTGTAGCCGAAGCCTGGGTCCCGCCAGCGCCAACGCGGCGCTGCCGCGCGGGGACTGCCCCCACGGTGTCGGCGTCAGTGGCCTGAGCTGGCTCGGGAGCGGCGGGAGCGGCGGCACGTGGAGGTGCTGCGGGGGGCCCGCGGCCGTTGCGAACGCCTGCGGCCCGACGAACTCCGCCGCCTCGCAGGCTCGTGGGACGAACCCAATGGACCCTTACTTTGCGATTTGCCATTGAAGAAATCGCGCGAAGATGGTGCTGCGTCGGAGCTCACCCGCGCCCCCGCGCTCCTGGCTTAAGCTCCTTGCGCCCTTGAAAAGGGCATCCAGGAAAACCATAAAATTAGCCAGGCGAAGGACCCAACCATATGCAGTTGTGAACACCGTCGTTGTATGCACCGCATTCGGAGGAGCTCCCTGTAGGGCCACGAAACGTCTGAGGGGTGTGCCAAAATTTGTCCGGTGGGCGCATGCGAAAGTAGCCACTGGGACCGTCGGTGGAATTCCCTATGAGACCACGAAACGCGTGAGAGGTGTGCCGAAATAGGTGCGGTGGGCGCATGCGAACGCAGCCACTGAGGCCGTCGGTAGTGCTCCCTATGGGGATGCGAAGCGTGTGATGGGTGTGCCGAAATGGGTGTGGTGGGCGCATGCGAACGCAGCCACTGGCGCCTTCGGTGGAGCTCCCTATAGGGCCACGAAACGTTTGACGGTGTGCCGAAATGGGCGTGAGTGACGCATGCGGGCGGTGGCTCCGGGCCTTCGGTGGAGCTCCCTATGGGGCCACGAAACGTGCGAGGGGTTTGCCGAAATAAGTGTGGTTGACGCATGCGAGCGGTGCAGGGAGGAGGGAGAAGAGTGAGTGAGCGACGCGGGGCGCTGTCTCTTCAAAACGAAGACCCAACACAACAGGATGGTTGGGAAAAACAATACGGAAAAGCTGCATTGAGGGATCCCGCGGCCCGGGAGATGATCTCCTCCATCCACATCTGGAAGCGCATCTCGGCCTCCGTGGGCTGCCGGTCCGCGGTCACCAGGGCCTTCTGCAGGCTCGCTCGACCAGCCTGCAGCAACTCTGGGCTGCGCGAGAGGTGCAACGCCACGGCGTACCACAGCAAGGCGAGGAGCGCCGGCTGCAGAAACCAGGCGAGTGTGAGGCGCATGAGCGCGGCGACCAGCCAGCGCTCGCCGTCAGCCTTGCTCACGTTGGCGAGGAAGACCATAACCGCGAGCGTACTGAAGACAAAGTACCCGACGCCGACGAGCACGATGCACTGGTTCCTTGCAGCGCTCTCGCCGTAGAAGCCGAGCACCGCCAGGCAGGGGATCGACCCGAGGACTGCGCACAGGAGCGTCGTGAGCACGTCGGGGAAGGCGTGTGCGAGGGCGCCGAACTCTGCGCAACCGGCGTCGGCGGTGCAGGCGCTCCCGCTGAGGAACAGCGCCAGCAGCGCCAAGGAGCCGAACAGGGAGTCCAGCAGCACCACGAGCTGCACCCAGGAGGGCAGCGCCAGACTGAAGAGGGACAGCCCTGCGATCGGGTGCACCGCCCCGAGAAATCTGCAGAACAGCGCACGCACCTTTGTCTGGAAGTACTCGGGCTCCCTCTCCCACGCCTCCTCTGGGAAGCACAAGGAGACGCACGTCCGACCCATACATATAGTACAACATCTGATAAGATATCATTTCCCAAGCGGCATGGCCGCAAAGCGCCCGCCACGAAGCATATACTATATAAACGTTCTCGGCGCGCGCGCGTCGCCCCCGGGGGGCGACGCGCACGCAGCATTGCACACCGGGGCAGCGCCGATCCTTAAACACCGCCTCCGCGCCCTTGGAGCCCTCGGGGACCTCCCGCGCGGGATGGACGACTTCTCGTCGGCCTCTCTTGGCCCTCTTCTCGGACACCTCGACCTGGCTCGACGCGAGCAGATGCAGGTCCCAGCTCGAAACCCGCAGCTGGGCGGCGACGGACATCTGCAGGCACTTCACGGCGAGGAGCTCCCGCAGGGCCTGCGGGAGCGGCACCTCGAAGGTGCGGCCCACGTCGGCCCTCACCTGGAGCGCCTTCGCGGCCAACCACACGACGTACACTGCGATGCCGCCGCGCCGGTGCGCTCGTGCAGCCTCCGCCAGACTGCTCAGGCTCAGCCCCGTGCCGTTCTCGCCCTTGGCCTGCCCGCCCCTGGAGACGAAGGCGCTGGCCTCCGAGCGCCACCGCACGGCCAGGGCGACCAGCGCCCACCCCGCGAGCAGGATCCACACGAAGATCCCGGCGGGCTCCCTCCACCAGGTGCCCTCCAGGATCGCCCCGATCCCAGCGCTCCTCACCGTGTCCACAGCGACCGACGCGCCCAGGCCCACGAGCACCGGGACCTCCTCCGGTGTCGGCCGCGTGCCGTACGTGCCCGCGTACGTCGCGGACAGCTGCGAGCAGGCGCAGACGATGTGGTGGTCCGTGACGTTCTGGACCGAGCAGCCGGAGTCGACCCACGCGGTCGCGTCCGGGTCCCAGCGCTGGCACAGGCGCACGCCTTGTTGGGTCGTGGAGTTAAGCTGCTCGGCCGCCAGGGGGACGGTGAACGTGATGGCCTCGTACCCGGCGGAGGCCTCGAGGGTGACGCCGCAGCCCCGCACGCTGAGCGTCTGCGCCGAGCTCTCCGACACCTCGCAGCAAGACACGCCGTCCAGCGCCGTGTCGAAGCCAGCAGCCGCGAGAGCAGTCTGGATGGCAGAGTCGGTGGCCGTGGTGGCCGCCCCAGCATAAGCGAGGGGGCTCCTGGACCACTGGATGGCCTGAAGGCCCACCTCGGCGGCGACGCAAGACGCGGCCGCCAGGGGGCCAGAGACGTCTGTGGCCGACAGGCTGAAGTCGGCCACCGACGCCCCGCCCGAGGCCATCGACGCGACGCTCTGCTTCACGGCCGTGAGCACCATTCTGCCGGAGGAGACGCTGAACGGGACCCCCACGTCCGCATCGATGACGAGAGCGTCGCCGATGATGCTCATGCTACTGAGGACGTTCGAGGCCAGGAGCTCCTCGGAGCTGTTGGGATTGGAGCTCGACCGCGCGCCGCGGCTGCGGCCACCTTCGAGCTTCGCCCCGACCAGCGTGCCCACCGCGCCGAGGAGCGTGCTGGCCGTCCCCGCGTCCATGCTCTGCGCGAGGGAACTGGAGGCACCCGCGACGCTCAGCAGCAGCTGCGAGGCCTGCAGCGCCACGTCGGGGTCCATCGTCGTGGCCGCCGTGCTCGCCTCGCTGTCGTCGGCCGTCGTCGCAGCGGCGCTGCCTCCGACCACCACGCTCAGCGCGTTGCTGAAGGAGGACACCATCTCCGCCGTGGCCGCGGTCATCGACACGCTGGACTGCATTATGCTCATTAGGCTCTGAGCGAACTCGTTGTCCTCGGGGCTCCCCGTGCTCTGCCCCTTCGTGGCCGCCACCGCGGCCACCGCGGCCATCGTGGCAAACTGCTCGCCAGCGCCCGACACGGCGGCCACGATGTCGAGCAACTCAATGGCAGACACGTTCTCGGCCTTATCGACGGTGACCGTGGTCGTGGCCTCCGCCACGGAGCCCAGCTGATCCATCGCCTGTGCCATGATCGTTACCTCACCAATGTCGGAGAGCAGCAAGTGGCTGAAGGTGCTCACCTCTCTCCATTCGCTGAGCGTCACCCAGACGACGTTGCGCGCGGACGACGCACTGGGGCTCCGGAAGAACCGGTACTCGAGCGGGACGTCGTCGTCTACCCAGCCGGCGGTTTTCAGCGTGAATATGGTCGACGCGGCAGTGCCTGACTCTGGGTAGGCCATGGCGTAGCCATCGGCGGGCGGCTCGTCGACTACAAAGGCATCCGAGTCGAAGGCCCAGGCGCCGGTGGACTCCGAGGTCACCAAGCCCGCGTCGGCAGTCTCGGAGAGGACGAGCCGCAGTCTGTAGTTCCCTGGCTCTGGCATGTTGTCCCCGGGCCGCAGCCAGAGGCCGTTGATCCATGCCGCGGCCTGCGAGGTCTGGTACACGCTCGTGGGGGTCGCGAGCGGGTCGTCCTCGTCGATGAGGTACCAAGTCTTCCACTGGGGGCTCCTGCAGCCGCTGCCGACGCTCACCGTGTAGGAGATCTGCAGATCCTCCTGCGGCGACACCTGGCCGGCAACGCTACCAATCGCGACGTTGGGCGTGTCGCGGCCGACGATCTCCAGGTCGGCGCTCGCGCTGCCGCGGGAGCCGTCGGGACGGGTGGCCACCACCGTGATGGTGTAGTTGCCTTGCCCCAGCTGGCCGCCGGCCAGGGCCAGGCTCGACCCCGTGGCTTGGACCAGCTCCTGGCACGTGGCCAGCTCCTCGGCGGAGACGCCACCGCCCGCGCTGCAGCCCCACGAGAAGTTCAGCAGCTCGCCCCGTGGGTCGGTGGACCCCGACGCGTCGAAGCTCACGCCGCAGGCCGCGCTGGCGACCAGGGGCGCGACAAGCTCGACCTCTGGAGGCCCCACGTCTTCGATCGTGACCTGGAACTGAAGGGAAGACTCGAGCGATCCGTCCATCAGCTCGCACTGGACCTCGTAGTCGCCTGGACCTCCAAACTGCGCCGGAGTCATCAGGAAGCGGGACCACAGCTCGGTCTGCACGTGCGTCCAGGAGCCGCCGCTGGCCCTCCAGGACCACGAGACGTCGCCCGCGATGGAGGGCGATGAGCCGCAGGCCTCGAACGAGACGCTCAGGACCACGTAGTCGTCGGCCAGGGAGAAGGACACCGGGCCACCCACGTAGCCCACGCTCTGCCACGACGTGAGGTGCGGCGCGCCCTCCGGCGAGAACGCGATGCTCTGCTCGGCCTCTACCAGGGGGCGGCTGCCGCCAGCCGCTCTGTATGCGCGCACCCTGATCGTGACCGAGATGGAGTCGACATCGGGATGCTGCGCGAGCGTCGAGCTGCCCGCGGTCGCGACCGCCTCCTGCGACAGGGCGACCTCGGCGACGAGCGCTCCGGTGGTGGCGCTGCGCTGGGCCTGCTCCTCCACCGCGGCGAGGATGGCGTCGCACAGCGGGGCGGGCGCCACGCTGGCCTCGCACGACCACTCCAGCGCCTCCGCGCTGTCCGGCGGCGTCGCCCTAATCAGCAGCGGCACGCACGCCGAGAGCTGCTCGGGGCTCGCCGACAGCGACATCGTGGCCTGCGTCGTGGTCGTGATCGAGGTCGTGGTGACAGAGGTCGCAGTGACAGTGGCCGTCCCCGTCTCGGTGGTCGTGCGGTGATCGACGGTCCTCGTCGAGGTGGTTGTGTTCGTGATCTTGGTCGTGGTCTCGGACTCCGTGGAGACCGTGGTCGTGCTCGTAAAGACGTCGGCTTCCACGCCCGTCACGGTCACCGAGGAATCGGCGCCCGCGGCCGAGAGCGCCGAGGTCAGGGTGTCGGTGAAGCTGCCGGAGCCCACGGCGTCGCGGAGCCCGGCGACCAGGCTGCCAGCGTTCGAGGACTGGCTGCCTGCTTCGAGCGTGAGCACGAAGTTCGCCGCGACGCTCTGCTGGCTGAGCCTGCGGGGCTGGCCCAGGCGGCCCAAGCGCCTGGCCATGGAGAGCGACACCGCGAGGTTGTTGTCGGCCTGCTTCTGCGTGAGGCCGAGGACGCTGGCGAGTGCCGACGTGACGGCGGTCTGAGCCGCTGGGTCGCTGACGAAAGCTGCCGGGTCGGGCACGGACATGCTCAGGGAGCCGCCGAGGGTCTGCTCGCCCACGGTGGTGCTGCTGGCGGTCGTCGTGCTGACGCTCGAGGAGCTCGTCAGGCTCGTGGTGGAAGACGCCGTGGCGGTCGTCGTGGTGGGCGAGCTCGTCGCGGTCCCCGTCTCCGTCGTGGTGTCCGTAGTGCTGGATTGCGAAATACTGCTCGACTCCGTAGTGGAAGACCTTGTTGTACTGCTGGTTTCCGTGGTGCTGGACCGCGACGTCGTGCTAGAATCCGTGCTGGTGGAAACTGTTGTGCTACTCGTTTCTGTAGTGCTTGTCCGCGATGTTGTGCTCGAATCCGTCATCGTGGAACCCGTAGTGCTGCTCGTTTCCGTGGTGGTGGACCCCGTGGTACTGCTTGATTCCGTAGTGCTGGTCCGCGACGTGGTACTCGACTCCGACGTGGTGGACACCGTGGTGCTGCTAGTTTCAGTGGTGCTGGTCCGCGACGTGCTGCTAGACTCCGTCGTGGTGGACACCGTGGTGCTGCTCGTTTCCGTGGTGCTGGTCCACGACGTGCTGCTAGACTCCGACGTGGTGGACACCGTGGTAGTGCTCGATTCGGTAGTGCTTGTTCGCGAAGTGGTGCTGGATGCCGTGGTGGTGGACCCCGTTGTGCTGCTCGTTTCTGTGGTGCTGGTCTGCGATGACGTGCTCGAATCCGAAGTGCTGGACACCGTGGTACTGCTCGACTCGGTAGTCGTGGACCCTGTGGTGCTGGTCGTTTCCGTAGTGCTTGTCCCTGATGTGGTGCTCGACTCCGTAGTAGAAGACCTCGTGGAGCTGCTCGTTTCCGTAGTGCTGGATCTCGACGTAGTGCTCGACTCTGTAGTAGAAGACCTCGTTGTGCTGCTCGTTTCCGTCGTGCTGGTCCGCGACGTCGTGCTAGACTGTGTTGTGGTGGAAGCCGTGGTACTGCTCGTTTCTGTGCTGCTCGTCCGAGACGTCGTGCTCGATTCCGTCGTGGTGGACTCTGTGGTACTGCTGGTTTCCGTAGTGCTGCTCTGCGACGTAGTGCTCGTCTCCGTCGTGCTGGACCCCGTGGTGCTGCTCGACTCCGAAGAGGTTGACCTCGTGGTAGTGCTTGTTCTCGTGGTGCTGCTCCGGGACGTAGTGCTAGACTGTGTTGCGGTGGACACCGTGGTGCTGCTCGTCCCTGTAGTGCTGGTCTGCGACGTCGTGTTGGACTCCGTGGTAGTCGACCTCGTGGTGCTGCTCGTTGCCGAAGTGCTGGTCCGCGACGTGGTGCTCGACGCCGTCGTGGTGGAAACCGTAGTGCTGCTCGTTTCCGTGGTGCTTGTCCGCGACGTGGTGCTGGATGCCGTAGTGGTGGATCCCGTTGTACTGCTGGTTTCAGAAATGCTGGTCCGCGACGTGGTACTCGACTCCGTGATGGTGGACCCCGTGGTACTGCTCGACTCCGTCGTTGTGGACACAGTGGTGCTGCTCGACTCTGTCTTGCTGGTGCGCGACGTGGTGCTTGACTCCGTGGTAGTGGACCCCGTGCTACTGCTTGTTCCCGTAGTACTTGTCCTGGATGTCGTGCTGGACTCCGTAGTGGTGGACGCCGTGGTAGCGCTCGTCTCCGTAGCGCTAGTCCGTGACGTGGTGCTCGATCCCGTTGTGGAAGACCCGGTGGTACTGCTCGTTTCTGTAGTGCTGGTCCGCGACGTCGTGCTGGTCCCCGAAATGGTGGACACCGTGGTGCTGCTCGTTTCCGTAGTGCTCGTCCGCGACGTCGTGCTCGAGTTCGTGGTGGTGGACACGGTGGTACTGCTCGGTTCGGTAGTGCTCGTCCGCGATGACGTGCTCGACCCTGTCATCGTGGACCCTGTGGTACTGCTGGTCCCCGTAGTGCTGGTCCCCATGGTGCTGCTCGTTTCCGTAGTGCTTGACCGCGATGTAGTGCTCGACTCTATAGTAGAAGATCTCGTGGTGCTACTCGCACCCGTCGTGCTGGTCCGGGTCGCTGAGCTCGAGGCCGTCGTGGTGGACCCCGTAGTGCTGATTGTTTCCGTAGTGCTGGTCCCCGACGTAGTGGTCGACCCTGTTGTGGCGGACCGCGTGGTGCTGCTCGTTGTTGAAGTGCTGGTCCGCGACGTGGTGATTGACGCCGTAGTGCCGGTCCACGGTGTACTGCTTGTTTGCGTAGTGCTTGCCTGCGAAGAGATGCTCGACTCCGTTGTGGTGGACCGCGTTGTGCTGCTCGTTTCCGTAGTGCTTGTTCGGAACGTCGTGCTCGACTTCGTTATCGTGGAACCTGTGGTGCTGCTCGTGCTCGTTGTGCTAGATCGCGACGCTGTGCTCGACTCCGTAGAGGTGGAATCCGTGCTTGAGCTGGACGCCGTGGTAATGCTCGTATCAGTAGTCAACGATGCCGTCGTGCTGCTGGTCACGCTCGAGCTAGCCGTCGTGCTGCTGGTACCACTCGTACTAGCCGTCGGAGTACTTGTCTCGGTCAGCGTAGAGTTGAATGACCCTGTCGTGAACGTCAGCGTTGTGCTGCTGCTCTCGGTAGTGCTGGCCGGCGTGGTGCTGCTCGACTGTGTTGCACTCGAAACAGTACTGCTCGACGTCGCGCTGCTCGTCTCGATTACGCTCACGCTGCTGCTCACTGTCATCGTGGAGCTCACTGTTGAAGTGGCAGTGGGTGACGCACTGCTCGCCGTGGTCAAGGTGATTGTGCCAGACATGGTGGATGCGGCCAAGGTGCTGGTGCTCGTCGCTGTTATACTTGTCACCGTTGTGCTAGACCTAGTAGAGCTTGCAGTTGCCACTGTGGTAATGGTCACAGAGGTTGTGCTTGATTCCGAGGTGCTGGTCAGAGTGGCAGTGCCACTCGTAACGCTCGCACTCGCCGTCGTCACCGAGATCGAGATTGTGCCCGTACTGGTCGTGGCAGTGCTGCCCGAGGTGGCACTGCTGCTCGTCTGAGACGCACTGCTAGTCACCGAGGCACTGGAAGTCTCAGTGGTTGACGATGCAGTCGTGCTGCTGGTACCACTCGTACTCGCCGTCAAAGTACTTGTCTCGGTCAGCGTAGTGTTGAATGACCCTGTCGTGACCGTCAGAGTCGTGCCGCTGCTCTCGGTCGTGCTGGGCAGCGTGGTGCTGCTCGACTGTGTTGCACTCGAAACAGTACTGCTCGACGTCGCGCTGCTCGTCTCGACCACGCCCACGCTGCTGCTCACTGTTGTCGTGGAGCTCACTGTTGAAGTGGCAGTGGGTGACGCACTGCTCGCCGTGGCCGAGATGGTTGCGGTTGACATGGTGGGTGTGGTCAAGGTGCTGGCGCTGATCGTTGTTGTGCTGGACATAGTAGAGCTTGTAATTGTCACTGTGGCAGAGGTCACAGAGGTGGTGCTTGATTCTGACGTGCTAGTCAGAGTGGTAGTGCCACTCGTAACGCTCGCACTCGCCGTCGTCACCGTGGTCGAGCTGGTGCCCGTACTGGTCGTGACAGTACTGCTCGAGGTCACACTGCTTTTCGTCAGAGAGGTACTGCTGGTTACGGAGGCACTGGAGGGCTCAGTGGTCGACGATGCTGTCGTGCTGCTGGTGTCAGTCGTACTAGCTGTCGAAGTGCTTGTCTTGGTCAACGTAGTGTTGAATGACCCTGTCGTGGCCGTCAGCGTCGTGCCGCTGCTCTCGGTAGTGCTGGCAGGCGAGGTGCTGCTCGACTGTGTTGCACTCGAAACAGTACTGCTCGACGTCCCGCTGCTCGTCTCGATCACGCTCACGCTGCTGCTCACTGTCATCGTGGAGCTCACTGTTGAAGTGGCAATGGGTGTCGCACTGATTGCCGTGGTCAAGGTGACTGTGCTAGACATGGTGGATGCGGTCAAGGTGCTGGTGCTCGTCGCTGCTATACTTGTCGCCATTGTGCTGGACATAGTAGAGCTTGCAGTTGCCACTGTGGTAGTGGTCACAAAGGTTGTGCTTGATTCCGAGGTGCTGGTCAGAGTGGTAGTGCCACTCGTAACGCTCGCACTCGCCGTCGTCACCGAGATCGAGCTTGTGCCCGCACTGGTCGTGGCAGTGCTGCTCGAGGTCACGCTGCTGCTCGTCTGAGACGCACTGCTAGTCACCGAGGCACTGGAGGGCTCAGTGGTTGACGATGCTGTCGTGCTGCTGGTACCACTCGTAATAGCAGTCAAAACACTTGTCTCGGTCAGCGTAGTGTTGAATGACCCTGTCGTGACCGTCAGCGTTGTGCCGCTGCTCTCGGTAGTGCTGGCCGGTGTGGTGCTGCTCGATTGTGTTGCACTCGAAACAATACTGCTCGACGTCGCGCTGCTCGTCTCGATTACGCTCACGCTGCTGCTCACTGTCATCGTGGAGCTCACTGTTGAAGTGGCAGTCGACGTGACACTGGTCGAAATCGTATTGCTGGAAGTCGTGCTGCTCGTCCCGACCACTTTCACGCTGCTCATTGTCGTGGAGGTGGCCGTGGAAGTGGCCGTGGATGTGTCCGCGATCGAACTCGCGCTCGTACTGGTCGTGCCAGTGCTGCTCGAGGACACACTGCTGCTCGTCTGAGACGCACTACTGGTCACCGAAGCACTGGAAGTACCAGTTGCCGATGGCGCCATCGTGCTGCTGGTCACGCTCGAGCTAGCCGTCGTGCTGCTGGTGCCACTCGTACTAGCCGTCGAAGTACTTGTCTCGGTCAGCGTAGTGTTGAATGACCCTGTCGTGGCCGTCAGCGTCGTGCCGCTGCTCTCGGTAGTGCTGGCCAGCGTGGTGCTGCTCGACTGTGTTGCACTCGAAACAGTACTGCTCGACGTCGCGCTGCTCGACTCGATCGCGCTCACGCTGCTGCTCACTGTTATCGTGGAGCTCACTGTTGAAGTGGCAGTGGGTGTCAAACTGCTCGCCGTGGTCAAGGTGACTGTGCTAGACATGGTGGATGCGGTCAAGGTGCTGGTGCTCGTCGCTGCTGTACTTGTCGCCGTTGTGCTGGACCTAGTAGAGCTTGCAGTTGCTTCTGTGGCAGTGGTCACAGAGGTTGTGCTTAATTCCGAGGTGCTGGTCAGAGTGGTAATGCCACTCGTAACGCTCGCACTCGCCGTCGTCACCGTGATCGAGCTTGTGCCCGTACTGGTTGTGGCAGTAGTGCTCGAGGTCGCACTGCTTTTCGTCTGAGACGTACTGCTAGTCACCGAGGCACTGGAGGGCTCAGTGGTTGACGATGCCGTCGTGCTGCTGGTTCCACTCGTACTAGCCGTCGAAGTACTTGTCTCGGTCAGCGTAGTGTTGAATGACCCTGTCGTGACCGTGAGCGTCGTGCCGCTGCTCGCGGTAGTGCTGGCCAGCGTGGTGCTGCTCGAGTGTGTTGCACTCGAAGCAGTACTGCTCGACGTCGCGCTGCTCGTCTCGACCACGCTCACGCTGCTGCTCACTGTTGTCGTGGAACTCCCCGTGGAAGTGACCGTGAACGTCGCACTGCTCGAACTCGTACTGCCTGAAGTCGCGCTGCTCGTCCCGACCACGTTCACGCTGCTCACTGTTGTTGTGGAGCTTACCGTGGAAGTGGCCGTGGATGTGACTGTGATCGAACTCGCGCTCGTACTGGTCGTGCCAGTGCTGCTCGAGGTCACACTGCTGCTCTTCTGAGACGCACTGCTGGTCACCGAAGAACTGGAGGTATCAGTTGCCGACGATGCCGTCGTGTTGCTGGTGGCGCTCGAGCTAGCCGTCGTGCTGCTGGTGCCACTCGTACTGGCCGTCGAAGTACTTGTATCGGTCAGCGTAGTGTTGAATGACCCTGTCGTGGCCGTCAGCGTCGTGCTGCTGCTCTCGGTAGTGCTGACCAAAGTGGTGCTGCTCGACTGTGTTGCACTCGAAACAATGCTGCTCGACGTCGCGCTGCTCGTCTCGACCACGCCCACGCTGCTGCTCACTGTTGTCGTGGAGCTCACTGTGAAAGTGACAGTGGATGTCGCACTGCTCGCTGTGGCCGAGATGGTTGCGGTTGACATGGTGGGTGTGGTCAAGGTGCTGGCGCTGGTCGTTGTTGTGCTGGACATAGTAGAGCTTGTAATTGTCACTGTGGCAGAGGTCACAGAGGTGGTGCTTGATTCTGACGTGCTAGTCAGAGTGGTAGTGCCACTCGTAACGCTCACACTCGCCGTCGTCACTGTGGTCGAGCTGGTGCCCGTACTGGTCGTGACAGTACTGCTCGAGGTCACACTGCTTTTCGTCAGAGAGGTACTGCTGGTTACGGAGGCACTGGAGGGCTCAGTGGTCGACGATGCTGTCGTGCTGCTGGTGCCAGTCGTACTAGCTGTCGAAGTGCTTGTCTTGGTCAACGTAGTGTTGAATGACCCTGTCGTGACCGTCAGCGTCGTGCCGCTGCTCTCGGTAGTGCTGGCCAGCGTGGTGCTGCTCGACTGTGTTGCACTCGAAACAATACTGCTCGACGTCGCGCTGCTCGTCTCGATCACGCTCACGCTGCTGCTCACTGGTATCGTGGAGCTCACTGTTGAAGTGGCAGTGGATGTCGCACTGCTCGCTGTGGCCGAGATGGTTGCGGTTGACATGGTGGGTGTGGTCAAGGTGCTGGCGCTGGTCATTGTTGTGCTGGACATAGTAGAGCTTGTAATTGTCACTGTGGCAGAGGTCACAGAGGTGGTGCTTGATTCTGACGTGCTAGTCAGAGTGGTAGTGCCACTCGTAACGCTCGCACTCGCCGTCGTCACCGTGGTCGAGCTGGTGCCCGTACTGATCGTGACAGTACTGCTCGAGGTCACTCTGCTTTTCGTCAGAGAGGTACTGCTGGTTACGGAGGCACTGGAGGGCTCAGTGGTCGACGATGCTGTCGTGCTGCTGGTGCCAGTCGTACTAGCTGTCGAAGTGCTTGTCTTGGTCAACGTAGTGTTGAATGACCCTGTCGTGGCCGTCAGCGTCGTGCCGCTGCTCTCGGTAGTGCTGGCAGGCGAGGTGCTGCTCGACTGTGTTGCACTCGAAACAATACTGCTCGACGTCGCGCTGCTCGTCTCGATCACGCTCACGCTGCTGCTCACTGTTATCGTGAAGCTCACTGTTGAAGTGGCAGCGGGTGTCGCACTGCTCGCCGTGGTCAAGGTGACTGTGCTAGACATGGTGGGTGTGGTCAAGGTGCTGGCGCTCGTCGCTGTTATACTGGTCGCCGTTGTGCTGGACCTAGTAGAGCTTGCAGTTGTCACTGTGGCAGTGGTCACAGAGGTGGTGCTTGATTCTGAGGTGCTGGTCAGAGTGGTAGTGCCACTCGTAACGCTCGCACTCGCCGTCGTCACCGTGGTCGAGCTGGTGCCCGTACTGGTCACGGCAGCACTGCTCGGGGTCACACTGCTGCTCGTCTGAGACGTACTGCTAGTGCTGCTTGTTTGCGTAGTGCTGGTCAACGACGCCATGCTCGAGTCCGCTGTGGTGGTCACCGTGGTACTGCTTGTTTGCGTAGTGATGGTCAATGTCGCCGTGACCGAGTCCGTTGTGGTAATTTCCGTGGTGCTGCTTGTTTGCGTAGTGCTGGTCAACGTCGCCGTGCTGCTACTCGATACCGTTGTGGTGGTGGTGCTCGTTTGCATATTGCTAGTCAACGTCGCCGTGCTCGACTCCGGTGTGCTGGTCCCCGTGGAACTGCTCGTGTCCGTGATGCTGGTGCCCGCTCCCGTGCTCGACTCCGTCGTTGTGGACCCAATGGTGCTACTCGACTCCGTTGTGGTGGTGGTGCTCGTCTGCGTAGTGCTGGTCAACGTCGTCGTGCTCGACTTGCTTGTGGTCCCCGTGGTACTGCTTGTTTGCGTAGTGATGGTGAACGACGCGTTGCTCGAGTCCACTGGGTTCCCCGTGGCACTGCTTGTTTGCGTAGTGCTGGCCAACGTCGCCGTGCTGCTACTCGACTCCGTTATGGTGGTGGTGCTCGTTTGCATATTGCTGGTCAACGTCGCCATGCTGCTACTCGACACCGTTGTGCTGGTCCCCGTGGTACTGCTCGTTTGCGTAATGCTGGCCAAGGTCGCCGTGCTCGAGTCCGTTGTGGTGGTCCCCGTGGTGCTGCTTGTTTGCGTAGTGCTGGTCAACGTCGCCGTGCTCGAGTCCGTTATGGTGGTCCCCGTGGTGGTGCTCGTTTGCAGATTGCTGGTCAACGTCGCCGTGCTGCTACTCGACACCGTTGTGCTGGTCTCCGTGGTACTGCTTGTTTGCGTACTGCTGGTCAACGTAGCCGTGCTCGAATCCGTTGCGCTGGTCCCCGTGGTGCTGCTTGTTTGCGTGGTGCTGGTCAACGTCGACTTGCTGCTACTCGACACCGTTGTGGTGGTCTCCGTGGTACTGCTTGTTTGCGTGGCGCTGGTAAGCGTGGCCGTGCTGCTACTCGACTCCGTTGTGGTGGTGGTGCTCGTTTGCGTAGTGCTGGTCAATGTCGTCGTGCTCGAATGCGTTGTGCTGGTCCCCGTGGTACTGCTGGTTTCCGTGGTGGTGGTGCCCGACGTCGTGCTCGCCTCCGTCGTTGTGGACCCGGTGGTGCTTCTCGACTCCGTTGTGGTGGTGGTGCTCGTTTGGGTAGTGCTGGTCAACGTCACCGTGCTCGAGTCCGTTGTGGTGGTCACAGTGGGACTGCTTGTTTGCGTAATGCTGGTCAACGTCGCCGTGCTGCTGGTCAATGTCGTCGTGCTCGAGTCCGCTGTGGTGGTCCCCGTGGTGCTGCTTGTCTGCGTAGTGCTGGTCAACGTCGCCGTGCTCGAATCCGTCGTGGTGGTCCCCGTGGCACTGCTAGTTTCCGTTGTGGTGGTCCCCGTGGTACTGCTTGTTTGCGTGGTGCTGGTCAACGTCGTCGTGCTCGAGTCCGTTGTGGTGGTCCCCGTGGTGAGGCTCGTTTGCGTAATGCTGGTCAACGTCGCCGTGCTGCCAGTCGACACCGTTGTGGTGGTCCCGGTGGCACTGCTTGTTTGCGTGGTGCTGGTAAGCGTCGCCGTGCTGCTACTCGACTCCGTTGTGGTGGTGCTGCTCGTTTGCGTAATACTGGTCAACGTCGTCGTGCTCAAATGCGTTGTGTTGGTCCCCGTGGTACTGCTGGTTTCCGTGGTGGTGGTGCCCGACGTCGTGCTCGACTCCGTGCTTGTGGACCCAGTGGTGCTACTCGACTCCGTTGTGGTGGTGGTGCTGCTCGTTTGCGTAGTGCTGGTCAACGTCGCCGTGCTCGAATCAGTTCCGCTGGTCCCCGTGGTGCTGCTTGTTTGCGTAGTGCTGGTCAATGTCGCCGTGCTGCTGGTCAAAGTCATCGTGCTCGAATACGTTGTGATGGTCCCCGTGGTACTGCTAGTTTCCGTTGTGGTAGTGCCCGACGTCGTGCTCGACTCCGTCGTTGTGGACCCAGTGATGCTGGTCCCCGTTGTACTGCTGGTTTCCGTGGTGGTGGTGCCCGACGTCGTGCTCGACTCCGTCCTTGTGGACCCAGTGCTGCTACTCGACTCCGTTGTGGTGGTAGTGCTCGTTTGCGTAGTGATGGTCAACGTGGTCGTGCTCGAGTCCGTTGCGCTGGTCCCCGAGGTACTGCTTGTCTGCGTAAAGCTGGTCAACGTCGCCGTGCTCGAATCCGTCGTGGTGGATCCCGTGGCACTGCTCGTTCCCGTTGTGGTGGTCCCCGTGGTGCTGCTTGTTTGCGTAGTGCTGGTCAACGTCGCCGTGCTCGAGTCCGTTGTGGTGGTCCCCGTGGTGCTGCTTGTTTGCGTAGTGCTGGTCAACGTCGCCGTGCTGCTGGTCAACGTCGTCGTGCTCGAATCCGTTGCGCTGGTCCCCGTGGTACTGCTAGTTTCCGTTGTGGTGGTGCCCGACGTCGTGCTCGACTCCGTCGTTGTGGACCCAGTGGTGCTGGTCCCCGTGGTACTGCTGGTTTCCGTGGTGGTGGTGCCCGACGTCGTGC